GAGCCCCGCGCGAGAGGGCGAGCCGGAGCCGGAGCGAGGAGCGGAGCGCGGAGCGAGGGCGCGAGGGAGGCCGAGCCGAGGGCGCGAGGCGCCGCGGCGCGAGGGGCGCGCGGCCACGAGGAAGTGTAGTTTCTTACAGGGCTGAATTGAAACAACTTCAGCTATTTGCTTTTAGGATGTCTCGCCGCAAGCAAGCGAAACCGAGATCCCTCAAAGGTAAGGAGGACGCCCCCCCACCCCCCTGCTTTCCCCCATCCGTGAGTGTCACTGTGGATAGCGGAGCGAGGGCTGCGTGGCCGCGAGGCGTGTGCGCGCGTGAGTGTGAGTGTGAGTGCGGGGGCGCGCGCGCACCCCTCCCCTGTATAGCCCCCAGGTGGAGTGAGGCCGATGTGTCGGGGAGGGGGGAGATTAAGTCGGGAGGAGGATCCCCAAATGGGGCGGCGGTAAAAAAGTGGGCAAGAAAAGACAACAACAACCCCCCCCCCCTTTAAAAAGAGAGAGAGAGAGAGAGAGAGAGAGAGAGAGGGAGAGAGAGCGAGAAAGAGAAAAGACACTCGGAATCATCTGGAGAGGGAGGAAAAGAAAATCTCCTATCTGAGATCTACATCTGGGCTGGAGGAAAAAGTTTCTGCTGTGTGTTTTCGCAAAGAATAAATATGCAAAACCGTGCGGTGCTTCTCTTCTCCTTTCTTCGAAAGAAGAAAAAAGTCATCTGGGAGCGGGTGGGGGAGCAGGCTGTGCGCATTAACAGCGTGGCCCGGGGTCCCGGCCGCGCCGGGGCGAGGACGCCTGGGCCGCCGCCGCCTCCCAACCCGCGCCCTGTTCTCTCGGCGCGCGGCCGGTGTAAACAAACCCGGGCCCGCACACCGCGGCTCTCGGACCCGGGCTCGGCCCGGAGGACCCGGTTGGCCATTCAGAGAAAGTTGGCCGCCCCTCGCCCCTACTCCCCGCCGTCCGCTTATAGTCTGGTTTTGGTGACGGGGTCCAACTCCCCGGCGTCCGGCTTGGAGCGGGAAGTTTGCGGGGTGTGTGTGCATTTGGGGGGCGCCCTAGCTGACTGTGGAGG